CGCTGTGGTCATTTGTTCAGAATTCTTTAGTAAAACCCACTGTACTGAGGACATCAGGATTATTATCAGTATGAATTTGGGGCCTGGAAGATAATAAAGCTGTTGCCTGCTGGCCATTTTCCTTACAGCTGCCCTGGGGGTTTGTGGAACAGCAGGTGCCCATGAGCTCCATGTCAGCCCTTCTTGTTTCAGGGTCAAAGCTGCGAAACCTGCGGGATCAAGATGCACTTGCCTTGTGTGGCCAAGTACTTCCAGTCAAATTCTGAGCCGCACTGCCCCCACTGTAACGACTATTGGCCCCATGAGATCCCAGGTACATGGTCCCCAGGTGCCCATGGGAGGGGCTGGACTAGCAGATCTCAGTGCCTGGACACGAGAAGCCCTTGGAGATGGGAGTGCTCCACTGGGGGTCTGTGTCAGCGGCCTGATCCCACAGGTGGAAGCAACTGTTGCAGGAAGCGAAGGCTGACTCACACGGCTCCAAGGGGCTCTCTAGAATGCAGTAGAAATTCTAACGCATGCGAGCATGCATCTAGCAGCCGTCTCCAGAGGGGCATGTGAAAGCAGCACCCGCAGCTCCCTCAGTTTGTTCCTCTGTGAATCGGGACAATTCCACCTTCCTCACAGGCTGGGGAGAGGGTTAGCAGTGAAGAGTGTTAGGGACGTAGGACAGAGTCCTTGGCATGGGAAACATAGCTGTCGACTTGAGCCGGTGTCCCTGTGCCACCAGCCCCCACCATTCACTGTGTCTTCCTGGCTTTTTCTGTACACAGAAGTCTTCGACCCTGAGAAGGAAAGGGAGGCTGGCATCTCCAAATCAAACAGAAGGTCCTTGCGGTCCAGGCAGCATTAGTCACTGAGCCCTGCCGAGGGGCCCGCTGCCTGGAAGACGGCATCAGTGTTTCACAGGTTACACAGATCACCTCCTTGTTCTTTACATTCATTGTTCTTTATATTCAGATTAGGAATAAAACTGTTGCAAGTTGCTGGTCTGGAGCCTCTGTGTATGCAGTTTTGTGCCATGGCCTTTCCTTCTTTCTTGGAGTTCAAGTGAAGACTCGGAAGCCTTGGTTTGGGCTCTGGCATGCGAAGCCAGCAGAGCTTCTCCTGCAGGACAGTGCCCTGTTCCAGAGCTACCACTGGCCCAGAGAAGCTCACTGTCCTTGCCCAGGGTGGCTGTGCCTTCAGTCCCAGCGTAGCTCACTTGTCCTGTTAAGACCTGGCCAGCCCCAAGCCTGGACTTGTGAGCCTTGGCCTTGCCCTCTCCAGCTACCCGCAGTCTGCACCCTCCCCTGGTCCGAGGTGCCACTGGCCTGAATGCGCAGGTGACTGGCAGCCCTGCCTGTCCAGCAGCTCCAGCCTGGATGCTGCCTCCTCCCGGCCCTCCTGCACACAGTCGTCACAGGTCCTGTCCAGCTATTACTCCAAGACAATCTCAGAGGCCCATGGTTTGCTCCTGCCCCACTGTTAAGGGTGCAGCACTTCCTTCCTCCGACTTCTCACTGGAGCCTTTGCCGGGCTCCCTCTGCTGCACGTGCTGTTCCCTCTGGTGTTCTGCCTTTCCTGGCCATCCTTGGGTCTTGGCAGCCTCTCACCTCTCCTGCTCCCTGCACTTCCTTGGTCTTCATGCTTGCTGCACTGTTAGAATTCCCTGTCTCCTTGCCTCTCATCCACTCTAGTATCAGTCAGGACCCTGCAGTCTTGACAGAAAAGACAACTCAAACTGGCTCGAACAAGGAAGGACTTGGCCAGAGGGGCCAAGTCCTCAGAAGAGGCTGGGTCTAGCTGTTCCAGCAACGTCACCAGGCATCTGGGGCACAGTGAGTGATGACACCTGCTGGGGGGCTCACCCTCCCAGACCCGAGTCCAGGCCCTCGGGCCCCTCACGCCCACCTCCTTGTTAGTGAGGCAGATTGGGACCCCGCATAGCCCTTCATCAGTGGGCAGATAAGCCTGCTGGGAAGGTCGATGGGCACCCTGACTTGGGGGGGGGTGGGGTTCAGTCAGCGTGTCGGGTGAGCAACAGAAGCCTCAGCAGCTTAACCAGAAGGGGTTTCCTGGACAGGTATGAGGTAGCTCGTAGAAATGGCAGGAAGGCAGAACCAGTCTAGAAAAGATGGACCTTGGAATCGGGTTCTGGTCAGCCAGACCGATTCCTCAGTCACAGTGGGCACTGCTGCGTGGTAGGTCAGCTCCAGCCCGTGTCAGTCCTCCCAGCACGCCCTCAGGGTGCAGGTGCAGGGAGCAGCCGAGTCACAGACCTGTAAGACTACACTCCCCCCGGGGGATGGTACTTCTCCCAAATCCCAGCAATGCGCTGTAGGACAGGAGCGTGGACGCCCAGAAGCAGAAAGCCAACTGGCAGGTGCTTGGGACAGCCAGCTTGCTGCCTTCATGGCCTGCTGGTCAAGGAGAGCCATGTCCGTACAGTTTAGGTGAGTCCTGGCTACTGACCCAGGAAGCCTCTGAGCACCTGTTGCTGGGACACTGGCCCTCCAGCTCCTAGCCTCCCTGTCTCCTGTCCTTTCATGATGACACCAACATGAATGTCCCATAATAGGCACCCATATTCCTCAGCTAAAACCCTCCCTCAGAGTCCCAGCCTCCTCACCTGTGATCCAGCCCTGCCTGCCTTCTCTTCCACTGCCCAGCCCTCCGTAGGCACCCCTGACCTCATCACTCAGGAATTGCCGACTGGCCAGGTGCGGCTCACTGCTCTCTGGGTCCCCAGTGCCCCTGCCGGGCCCTTGTGCACACTGCAGCACAGGCCAGTCCATCCCTGGTGAGCACTTGTACTGCCCAGGCCTGTAGCCTCACTGCAACCCCCATGCTCCCGGCACCAGGCTTTCCTGCCTCAGGGCTGTTGTACCTGCTGCTGGGAGGTTGGCCTCAAATCTCAAGCCAATTCTGCATTCCTGGCTATTCAAGCTTTTTATTCAGATGTCAACTGTCAAGAAATCACCTCCCTATAATCCATTTCCTGATGCCACTTTTTATCTTGTTACTCATCACTATCTGACACTATCTCATTTTATTCCGATCTCCTCACTGGTTCCCCTCCCCCACAACAGTGTTAAAACACCTCGAGGGCAGGGACCTCATCTGGTTCCATGGGTGGCTTGGAGCAGGCCCTCTCCACATCTTGGATGGGCAGGTGGCAGGTGGGGCCCCTTGCTTGCGTCTCTCCCTGGCTCTGAGCGGCTGCTTGGCGCTCTGACTCTAGGCTGACTTTGGCGTCCACATTGCTCACAGGGCTTACTGGCAACACAAGAGCCCTGCCCACAGGACATGAAAGTTTCCTCTTCTAAGTTCCTCCCATCTGAGTTCCTCCCATCCCATTTCCTCTTCTGAGTTCCTCCCATTCCTCATGGCTGCTTGAGGCAGCCAGGCCTTGATCAGTGCATTAACGAGAGTGGCCTCCAGTGCAGGCTTTGGAGGCACCTGACATTACCGATGAGCCGCTTGTCACCTGTGGCTCAGGCAGATGTGGGGCCTTCCAGTGGGAATGGATGGGACAGGGACGGCTGGGCCCCTAGAAGCTGGAGCCACAGCCGCCCGTCCCTTGGCTGGGGAAGGGGTGCAAGTTACACTAGAGGGCCTGTGAGTTATGGCCCCTCTGCAGCCACACGGCTGCCATTCCTCATGAAGGCTACACATGCCAGGCATGGTGGCATTCCTATTTTATGCCTCACTACCTTTGGTGGCATTGCTATCTGGTATAAATTCTTCATATGAGAAATTAGGTACATAACTATTAATAATGGCAGATGGAGGAATAAACAATCTCCCTGTAAGCCGCTGACCAGGGAGCCGAGCCTCCTCCACTTCCTCCTAGCCCTTGTGTTTGTCCCTCCCTGCACAGCTGGTGCCTCCACCAGTCCACTCGCTGGAGTACCATGGCCTCCTCGTGGCTCCCATGGCCTGCATGTCCTCTCCCTTGTCAACAGCTAGCTTTCAAAAATGCAGATTCTGATCTCTGTTCAAACGCTGAGGCCCCCAGACCCATGCGATGAAGGTCAACTTCCTTGGCCTGGGCATGGAGGGCATTAGTGGCTGGAGTTCCAGCTGCCCACCACGCCTGCCCACCCCCCTTGCTCAGGTGCCGGGGTGGGTGTGCTGCCGGGCACCAGGCACAACAGCCGTTCCCATGGCCCTGGGTTGCACCAGAGATGAGCAGAGCGCCCCAGCCTGGCCAGCCAGAATTTTCTTTGGGGTTTCTCCATTGGGCTGAAGGACAAGCTGCAGGTCCTCCAGAGATATGGAGCTGAGCCCCCTAGGGAGAAGGCCTGGCTTTGAAAGGGGAGAGAATGAAGCCAAGCAGGTATGAGTGCATAGCCAGAGAGGGAGGGGAGCCGGGTGGGGGCGTGAAGCCTGAGCTCCCCTGCAGCACCTGCAGTTCAGGGAGCACCCCCGAAACCTCTCCTGCGACGGGAGCCAATATATGTATTTCATTTGTTTTTGCTTGAACTAGTTGGAGCTGGGTTTCTGTCACAACCAAGGGAGTCCTAGCCCGCCTGGCCCTCAGTGGCTGTACAGTCTACTCCTATTGCATGTTTAATTGCATCTTGTGCCACACCCCTCACCCTGCCCTGGGCTCCAGCGGTCCGGCTCACTATGCAGTTCCCTCTTTCACAAGGCCCACTCTCTCTTCCTGGTGATCCCTGCACATCCTTCCAGATCCAGCTCTGGCCTCTACGTCCCTCATCCCCCCCTTCCTCCCGCCTTTGCGTGACCACCTCGCGGCTCCCCCTCCTGTAGCACTTCCCACACCCAGGGATGCGATCACCAGGGAGCCGCCATCTCCCCCTAAAAGCTGAGTGCTCCCCGACCTCTGGGGGTATGTCCTCTTCTCTCCCTGGTGCCTCCTATGCTGCCCACAACAGGCAGCAAGGAAATTTTGCTTGAACAAATGATTTTTAAAATAAAATTATTTTTTCCTGCTTATGTTATTGAAAAGATTTGATACAGAGTAAGAAATATTAAAGAAAATAAAACATCCATAGTGTTACTACTGGCCTAAACATACCCACAATTTATTTGGAGCACTTCCTTTGGGATACACACAAATATATCTTTGGGACACACACATATATACACACACGTGTGGTAATGTGTGCACATGCACACACGTATACAGGTAGCATCTGAATGTAGTGCATTTTACTCAACATGACACAGCATTTCTTCATGACTTTAAGACTTCTGAGTGTTAATAGCTAAATAATATTCCTCTGTACCGATGGGCCATTTCTTACCGGCACGATTCAGGATGTCTCGTTTCTTGTTATTACAACTGGTGCCACGATGTCATCCTGCACAAGCATCCTTGCCTGTCTTTCTGCTATTTCCTTAGGATGGGTTTCAAGCAGTGGGGTCACTAGACCCCAAGGTATGCCCAAATGTTCAAGGTTCTGAGTTTTTACAAAACTCCAGCCAGGCTAAGCTCCCGCCAGCAGGACATCCCACCCTCTGCTACAGTGGGTGTGAGAGCTGGGAAGTTTCTGGCCAATTTGGTATCTTTGTTTCAATTTGCATATCTTTGAGTATTAGCGAGTCATAACATTTTTTTTAGCTTTATTAGATTTTAAATGTTTTCTTTTGTGCTTGGTTTAGAATGAATTACTCTACATCACGGTCACTTGGGTGATGGATGTTGTCAAACTCCAGATAACACTGTAGAAATGACCAATCTCTGGTTCTCCTGCCCAGTGGGGAGGGGGCTTCTCTGGTGCCTGCTGTGGGGGACATGCCTGTCTTTGGTCAGAGAGCTAGGGAAAGTCTTAATGGCCAAAACATAAACAAAACAAACCAGTGTGTTTTGTTTACAAACAAGTTTATAGACGCCTGAAGCCCAGGTTTCTCCCTGGCCTAAGCCTCCCCTAAAGTGTAGTTACTCCTGGGAAACAGCGTCTAGAAGGGGACAAGAGGGGGCTTCCAGGCGCTGGTGATGGTGGTTTCTTCACTCTGGGACCTGTAGTGGGTGTGTGCACAGTGGAAAATTCATCAAGCCAGAGACCTATGCGCGTCTCTGCGGGCAGGCTGCCCCTCAGCGAGGAGGCCGGCACGAGGCTCCCGCTGCCCAGCAGTAGGGGGAGCTCCTGAGCACGGTAGTGAGGACCCTCTGCCGTGGCTGGGGCTGCGACACTCTCCAGAGTCTGCGGGCTGCGGCGTCCCACGGGCTCGGTTACGGCGAGGAAGGAAGGATCTGAGGATCAGCAGCTGAGGTTCCCGCTGCAGCAGGGCGCTGCCGCCGCACATGCCACCTCCTGAGTCCTGCTTTCCAGAGGAGACACGGGCACAGTGGAGGGAGGTGTCTTGGCCAAATCATACCGCAGTTAGGCATGAGGCGGGGTTTGAGGGCAGCAGTGGTGGCAGAGCCCGTGTCGCACCACTGCATGGGCCGCCCGTCTGCGGGACTTGTGAGGCCTCTCAATGCTGTAGGCTGCATTGGGCTGCCTGGGGTGTCCTTCAGGGACTCTGCCCGCTCTGCGCCTGCCGCGTGCTGCGGCCCAGCCCCTGGGCAGGAATGGCTTCCTCAGGGCACAGGTTCAGCTGTGCTTGTCCCTAGACTCCAAGACCTGGCGCCAGGTTGGGCAGAGCAGGGGACGACTGAATCAGTGATGGCTGTTTGCGTTTCGGGCCCTTTCAGCTCTCACCCAGGCTACGACCACCAAAAGCTGACGGAGAAACTCAGGTCCAGAGCCCGCACGTAGTGCCAGTATTTAACTGGGATAAACAGGATCTCTCCCGGGGACAGGACGCAGGACTGGAACGGTGCCTCGGCAAACTTGGGGAACTTCTCTAGGTCGGGGTTCTCCACGTCCACCTGAAGAAAGCAAAAGAAGCCACTGTCTCCAGGGACCGGGGGAGGGGACAAGGGGAGGGTCTGCAATGTCATACTGGGTGCCACATGCCCACCTGGCTCGTGTTATGAAGCAAGTGCGTGTCGTGAGGATATAAAGCCTCCGACTCCTGCGGCGAATACAGCCGGATGTACTTCCTCCCCATCACCTGGGAAGAGAGAGACCCCATCAGTCGGCTGGTGGCCTCCCCCCCCCCCGCTGCTGCCCGGCTGGTCTGTGGGTCCCAGACCCCACACTCTCCCTCACCCCCGCGCCTTTCCACATGCTGTTCCCTGCGCCCAGTCCACCCTGCCCCACCACACACATGCTTATTAGAGTTCTGTATGTCTTCCTTCCGAATAGTTTACGAATCAGTAACTTCCTTATTGGAGCCAACAATAATGAAACACTTGATGTGCCAAGCACTGTTTATGCGCTTTCTGTATATTAACTCGTTCAATCCTCACGGCAACCTTCTGGGGTGGTTTACCTTCATCCCCATTTCACAGGTGAGGAAACTGAGGCAAACAGGCTAAATGAACTGCCTAAGCTCACAAAGCTGACAGGTGACAGAGCTGGTGTCTGTGCCAGGAAGGCTGACTCCCGAAGCCCAGCTCCTGGCCTCTACCGCACTGCGTCTTTGGACTGGTAGGCTGGGCTAGGAGAATGTTATTTATCAAACCTCTCTCTCTGCCTATGAAAAGCAAGGTGGTCTTACAACAGTGGACAGAGGCCCTTCTCCTTGTAGCAAACACATCTGCTTCTCTGTCCGGGTAGGAAGAACCTATCCAGTGACAGAAAGTTCCTTCCCCTGCTGGCCCCTCCCTATTCGGAAGCTGGTCCCCAGGGATGGCAGGCGGGGGGAGGGCAGGAGGCAGCCTGGGGCGCCATGCCAGGAACTTGCTGCATCTCCTGAGAACGCTCCCCCTGCCTGGGGACCTGGGGGTGAGCGCAGTCCAAGACACCACTTTAGGAAGCAGCCCTGACTGGAGACAGGATCATACACCAGGCCTGGCACCATCTCTCGGTTTCGATTTTTGTCTACATTCCTTTCAGTGGTTCTTATTTCTCTTTTTAAGAGCCTGATATTTAAAGGTGGATGATGTGTGGTCAGCACGTGGCTGGGCCAGGAGCAGGGGAAGACCTGGGCCAGGAAGTTCTGCTGCGGGTCCTGATGGAGTGGGGAGACAGTGCCTTGGGGACCAAACCAGGCATTAATGGTGATCTCTTCTTCCTCCCCGGTGCCCAGGCAGCAGTAGTCAGGGATGCTGATGTCCTGCCTCAACTCTGGGATCTGCGGGTGTCAGAGCAGACAGGGGAGGTTGAGACCAGCACGAAACATACCACACCACAAGTCACCTGTCTATCTGACAGAGGACTCAAATACATGCTACGGCCATACCCATATTTTAGTGGATAGGAATTTTAAAAACAATTTAAAAAACAAGTATCAGTAGGGAAGAGTTGTAATTTCATTCTGTTTCCTTTAAAAAAAAACAAACAAACCCCTACCAGTGCTTTATACTTAAATATAAACCACCCTGTCATTTTCTAAAGAGTTAAACACATTTTAAAAAATCAAACTGAAGAAAAATGAAAAGAAAATGGGATTGAGGCCAGGTGTGGTGGCTCAGACCTGTAATTCCTTTGGGAGGCACAGGCAAGATTGCTTGAGCCTGGGAGTTCAAGACCAGCCTGGGCAACACAGCAAGACACTGCCTCTACAAAAAATTAAATAATTGGCCAGGTGTGATGGTGGGCACCTATAGTCCTAGCTACTCAGGAGACTGAGGCAGGAGGATCACTTGAGCCCAGGATTTCAAGGTTGCAATAAGCTACAATCCAGCCTGGGCAACAGAGCGAGACCTTGTCTCTAAAAAAGAAAAAAAAAAAGAAATGGGATGGAATACGTATTAAATCTCTGGAGAGGAGTATTTTCCAAAATTTACCAATGGTAAAGAAATCACAATTCATACATTTTAAATAAATTAATGACAATAAAGACCAACAAACTAGGGAACTTATTTGAACTAACCGCAGTGAATGCGGGTTAATATACAGACCTCATACAAACTAATAAGGAAAGTGCTAAGATCGCAATACATAAATGACACAATGACACCATAATCGAAGAACACAACCAGATAATACAGAAAACAAATTACATATAAGGAAGGGCTTCAGTCTCATTAGCAAATAAACCCAAATTAAATCAACCATGAGTCACTGTTTCCCACTAATCAAATAAGTAAAGACTAAAAATGCGATAACGCCTTGTGGTGGTGAGGATGTGGTGACAGGGGCGCTCTCGGGCAGGGCTGCCGGGGCACCCAGTGCCACAGCTACCCGGCACGTGGGACGGGCACACGCAGCCCGGCTCGGGCTCCTCCGTGACGAGTGTGGCTCCAGGAGGAGCTGGGGGCGCAGGGATGAGGTGAGGGCTCACGGAGGGACACGGGGGACACGTGGGCTCCCGTGTCTTGGCCAACAGCAGGGGTCTGCCGTGACGAGCACGGATGACAAGTCGGTGTGGGAGAACAGCAGTCACTCTGTCCTGCTAGCGGGTCCTCTGTGAGCGCCAGGAGTGAGCACAGCCCTGGCCGGAGCAGCGGACGCGGCAGCTGAGCAACATTCCGAGGCTCCCACCCCGGAGCCTGCAGAGACAGGGCCCTAGCCCCCGCTTGGCTACAGTCCCGGCCACGCAGCCGGGCGCTGTCAAGTGCTGCCTCCCTGGGTCCCCCTGCTGTGCCCCGCCACAGGGGGATCAGGCCTGGTAGGACCACACCAGCCATGTCCCCCCTGGCTTTCCCAGCTTCATCTATAAACATTTTGGGGTCCTGAATCTAGGAGTCTTCCCTGACTGCCCTCTTCCCCTCCGGCCCACACAGCCACCCACGCCCAGGGGCCAGCAGTTCTCACGTGCCTTAAACCCCTGCACCTGCCAGTCATCACCTCTCCTTGGGCCACCGCCACAGCGGCCGGTCTCCCTCTGCCACAGCCACCCCCTTCAAGTCATCCCTGAACAGCGGCCAGTGATCCTCCAAGCAGTGACAAGCCCTTGCATTTTTCTGTCACATCAGGAAAATGACCCTTTGTCATCCAGGCCCTGCCTACCTCGCAGGCCTCACCTGCCACCTCCCCTGCTTAGCTCCTGCCACACTGAGCTCTTCTGCCCTGTCGTGTCAGAGCCTGTGCAGGGTGAGGGTCGGGGAAGGACAGAGAAGCGTAGCTCGGACTCACCTGGTCGAAGAGCTGATGCTGGGCAAGGTAGCCGATGTCCCTTGGCTAATCCACATGAGAAGAACCAGAGGGGACAGGGAAAGCCTGTTAGTCATGACAGATGCCCTCTGGCGTGTCCCTCCCTAACCCCAGCCCTGGCCCCTCCCTGCCACCAAAGGACAGCCCTCCACTCCATCCTACGTGGTCCCCTCCTCTGATCCAGGGCAGACATGACCAGCACCCTCAGGGGCAGGGCGGGGCTGCAGGGCAGGAGACTCAGGATCTGGCACTGCCCCTGCCACCCATGGTGCCCTGAGCGAGTCACCAGTCACCCTGGCCCCCTGAGGCTATCCCCTCAAATGAAAAATGAAGGGGCTGCAGACACATGAGGATCTGTTTTTAATGGGATCATGCTATATGTATTACTTTGCAACTTGCTTTTTTGCTTTAATGATATACCATGAATAGCTCTTCAGGTCAGCACACACGTATCTGACTCATTCTTTTGGTGGCTACGTAATGTTCCATGAACAGGATACATCGTTTTTCATTCAACTATCTCCCTACCGGTGGACATTCGGGTTGTTCTGCCACAGCATCTCAGCAAGCAGCCTAATATACGGGTCCTCATATTTATGTGGTATAGGCTTCCGAAAGTAGAAAAATTGAGTCATGGGAATGTGTATTTTAAACTTTAATAGCTCTGCCAGGCTACTTTCCACCAAGTTCGGTCATCTGCACTCTCACCAACAATTAGCCTGAGTACCGTCTTCCTACGTCTCGGCCTGCACCGGGAGGTACGTTTTGTGGACTCGTCTGCCGTCAGCTGGTGAGAAGACCGTGCTTGCAAAGAGGGCCCCAGGCCGAGAGGTTCCCGCAGACAGGCCCTGGGCAGCTCTCCCCCCTCGTCTGACGAGCTCTGAGGCAAACAGCTTGAAAGGAGTTGAAGGTCCCTCTCTAGGGTTCCCCAGAGGCTCTCTGGGTTTCTGCCCTCTCTTTCATTCCAGAACGTTCCTGACACTTCACAACATATGAGCCCCTGTGCTGAGCACCGGGACAGCCCGCTCTGCCACAATCGCCACCCTCACGGGTTTCCTGCGCCGGACATTAGCTGCGGGTTGGCCGTGCTGTGCTGAGACCTTTACCTGTTTTAATCCTCATGATGATGCCATGAATTAGGTGTGGCAACCTCCAGCTAACTAACCCAGAGACAGGACGCTGAGGATGGGAGGGGCAGCAGGGGACAGAGTGCTGTGCTGCTGGACGCCACAGCCACGTCCCCTGCTCCGTGCACGCCCCTCTGGCTGGGCCTTCCTGCTCTGGGAGCCAGGCTCCTCCACCAGGGGGCGACAGCCAGGGCCTTTCCAGCCAGCTCTATTCCCAAAGGCACAGGTGGGCGTGGCACATTCTCTGGCCAGGGTTCCTCTCCCGGCCTCCAGGTGACAGTGGGCTGAGCAGAGGGGACAGGGTAGGGGAGCAGCAGGGAGAGCCGTCTGTGAGCGCTGAAGGAGGAGGGGGAGTCAGGCTGAGGGGCAGGGGCTCCGAGTGGTCCCTCAGGAGTGCGCAGTTACAATGCTGCAAAGGCTGATGGGGCATCTCCTAACCAGCCCGGTCGCTGATCTGGACTCTGCGGCAATTCCATGATTAATCCCACCAGAACTTTCCTGGGCCCGGGGCTGCCTGGGGAGTGTGTGGAAGTCTGCAGGGCACCCACTCTCGCACTGTGATGGGCCCGCGACCCTGGGCGCACAGCCGCCGAGACCGTGGGCACACAGCCCCCGCTACAGGCTCCCCTGGTCTCAGCCCACGGACGGGACGGTTCCACCATCTCTATGCTCCGCCCCAGTCGCAGGAGGAGGAAGCCACCCCCGCCCCGTCAAGGGTCTGGAATGCTACAGTGGCGCAGCTGCTCTGGGAATCGGTCTGGCGGCTGGTTCTTCACAAAGTTAAACATGGGGGTTACCATGTGACCTGGCGATTCTACACCTACCACACGCCCAGAAGAAATGAAAAGGTACGTCCACAGAAAGACTCGCATGAGAGTGTTCACAGAGCATCTTTCACATGAACCAAAGAGTGGAAACAACCCGAGTAATCCACGGAGGGACGGACGGACAGAATGCGGTGCACCCACACGACGGGGCACGATGCCCGGACCCATGCCGCCCGGACACATGCCGCCTGGACACATGCCACGGCAGGTGAACCTGGATAACACCGCGGGAAGTGAAAGAAGCCAGACACAGAAAGCCGCCTGTCGCGTGATTCCGTCTATATGAAATGTGCAGAGTTCACCAGGCCACAGAAACAGAAGGCAGATCATGGGCAGCCTGGGGAGGGGGCAGAGGAAACGGGAAATGATTACGAATGAGTGTGGGGTTGCTTTTGGGATGATGAAAATGTTCTGGAATTAGATAGTGGCGATGGTTGCGTAATCTTATGAATACACTAAACACCACTGCATTGTACCCAAGAAAGGGAACCGGAAGTGAGTCCCTGTCTGGCCTGCCTCGCTCTAGCCGTCCTGCCGACCACAGACTTGCATGCCGACTTGTCCAAAGCCTCCCACTGCAACGCACGGGGGCGTCTGCCCAGACGCGCCACAGTCGCCCCTGTAGGCACTGGGGATGGGCCCACGACAAACCTTGCTCACGATGTACTTGCTGATGAACTCGCTGACCGTCATGAGCGTCTGGGACCACTCCTCGTCTGTGTACCTGGAACCCACTTCCACGGGGACGGTGCGGCAGCCAGCGACCTCTTGGATGTACTCCAAGCTACCAGAGACAAACGCACTGTCACCGCGGACACTTTCTGGGGATGGGGCTAAGCGTGTTTTACATGTGGCTCCGATCAATCCTCATAAAACCTCATGGTGCAGAGACTAACGCTGCCCCCACCTCACTGATGAGGAAACTCCGGCACAGAGCGTGCGGCGACCTGCCCGAGGTCCACGGCTAACACAAAGCGCTGTGTGGCTTGCGGACCCATCCAGTGCATCCGGTTTGCCGGCTGCTCTATGTCCCTGCCGGCCAGGAGCCTCCGCACCTCTCTTTGCTCACGCTGTTCCCGAGCTGGGGTGGCAAGTGCCTGTCCTGGCCCGTAGTAAAACGAAGGCTTGCTGTGGTGACGGTGCCTGCAGTCGAGACCCTCCTCGCACGAGCCCAGTGGCGACCTCCCCCTCCTCAAAACTACTACGGAAGAGGCTGACTCGTCTACCTTCCTTGAGATACACCTCCTCGTTTCCAAAATGGGTCACAGCTGTGGCACCACAGCCACTTTCCAGCTTCCTGGTCACATCTCCCCACTGTCAATATAGCACAAGATGCCGTGAGAGGAAGGGGCTGTCTCTCAGGTTACTTCCCAGCTTAGCACAGGGCCCAGGGAATTCCTAAGATCCTGCAAAACTGCATAATAGACTTATCCTAAGACTGCCACTTAGGGACTCATTAAGAAACGGCTTAGGGCAAGCTAGCTGTAGAAGGCGGAATCTTACACCCTCTGGCATAAATTCAGAGGCGTTGCTTTTAATTCTTGTTTAACCCCTTGGCAACCAACCTTAAGGGCCGGTAGTGCAGAGCCTGCAAGTTGGATTGACTTGGGCACGGTGGGAGGGAGGAGAAATTCGGGGATCCCTGGGGACCTCACCGCCCTTTGGCGACCACCCACCTCCACTTCTTCATGCACGGCCAGTGGTCAGCCACACCTTCCAGGATCACAGGCCTCTGTGGGGCCAAAAAGTGCTTCTGGAAGTGCTCGAGGGACGGACAGTGAAGCCGGGGCACTGCTCTTTCTAACTGCAGATCTGGAATCGAACCGTGGTCATCCTTTGCTTTCTGTTTCAAATCAGAACAAAACAAAATGGCAATGAGGCCGGGCGCTGTGGCTCACGCCTGTAATCCTAGCTCTTGGGAGGCCGAGGCGGCGGATTGCTCAAGGTCAGGAGTTCAAAACCAGCCTGAGCAAGAGCGAGACCCCGTCTCTACTATAAACAGAAAGAAATTAATTGGCCAACTGATATATATATAAAAAAAATTAGCCGGGCATAGTGGCGCATGCCTGTAGTCCCAGCTACTCGGGAGGCTGAGGCAGAAGGATCACTCGAGCCCAGGAGTTTGAGGTTGCTGTGAGCTAGGCTGACGCCACAGCACTCACTCTAGCCTGGACAACAAAGTGAAAAAAAAAAAAAAAAAAAAATGGCAATGAGTTCAGAAAGCTGAAGTCAGAGGCATTCCACTAGGAATTTGCTTGGGTGGTAGGACAGCTTAGGTGTCGTTAACCACAACACAGGTGACATTAATCACAGCCTTTATCACTACTGCTGCTGCTACTACTATTTGCTCATTGGGAGCTCAAGGTGCTTTTCTTTACTATTTCCTTAAAAAGTGTTTCTTCAATTAAAAGTTAACACATTGCTTTCACAGAAATTCTGCCATAAATTCTGCCATTTCCTTGCATGGGCCCGGCCATCCTGTCCGAGGCAGCCTCCCCCACCTCACACCACCCAAGAGAAGAAACTCTTCTACAGCCTCCCTGGAATGTAAGCTCCAGGCGGGCAGGTCCAGGCTGTTCCGTGCCGTACGCTCAGCCTGGCACATCTGGGCCACAGCTGGTGCTCTAAAAAGCTGCTGGGTAAACGCCCCTCTTAGAGGCACAGGGAGGCCAAGACGCTTGCCCGAGTCACAGACAGGGGGTGGCATCGTGGGACTTTGAACCCAGGCAGGCTGACTCCAGAGCCGCCGTTGCTATTAACACACCGCCCCACACCAAGGGGATCGCCTTGAGAGTCTGTCCCCCCCTCTAAACGTTCAACCAACGCACCATGCCCTCCGCCCCACGGTACCTTGGCAACAGTGGGTACCACATAAAACCTCATTTGCTAATTGAATAGCTAAAAATGGCTGGCTCACTGGTTTTGCTATTTGCATCTCTTTTATTTTTTTAACCAGAGGTGAGGTTGATCATTTTCCCACAGGTTTGTTTAACAGATCTATTTCCTTCTCGCGAATACTCTGTTCGTGTTCCTGGTCTCCCTCCTGGGACTCAAGTATTTTTTTCCCTATTGATTTGTATAATTCCTTACATAATAGAGATATACTCTCTCTCTGACAGATTTGCTGAAAATGTCTCTTCCCTGTTTATAGGATTTCCTTTAACTTTGGTTATATGCATGTCTGTTTAACGGCACCCATTTACATTATTTCTTATATAAAAGTAATACTCATTGTAGCAAATTATGATAACATTTAGAAAAAGGTCACAAATACCCCATAATTCCACTACCCAACATCGAGTGCATTCTTAGTCTTTTCTTTCTGGAGGTCAGGACAATGACTGCCATTTTTTGGATGGGGAAACTGAGGCTCAAAGGAGGCTGGTGACTTGCCCAGGGGTGTTTCGAGTGAGGCCTGCGTGTCAGCCCCGGGAATGGAAGCTCCTGAGCAAACCGCGCTCTGGGCCTGGCGGGTGCTCGTTGGCACAGGCACTTACGTACCAGTAGGGCACACGCACGGACCTGAGGGGCAGGACAGTGGCCCTGTGAACAGAGGCCAGCTAGCTGTAGCGCCTCATCTAAACTCAGCAGCACGGAGACGGGGCAGCCAGAAAGTATCACCTTGCCTGGGTGATACGTCAACAAGCAGACCAAGAAAAAGCTGCCAGACATGGCTGGCTGCAGCTCTCGCCCACACAATCCCTTTAAGCTGCTTCTCTCAGGGACCACAAAGCTCCCCCCTCCCTCTCTCCTGAAAGGGCATGGCTTTTGCAGAAACTGAAAAAAAAACTTTTTTTCCTTTTTTACAAAATAGAGTTGCTCCATTTCCAAAATCAAGGGAGATGCTATTTTCAGCCAGAGGGGTTGCATGCCACGCGGCCTCACCCCAGGGGAGAGCTGACGCGATGTTTCCAGGACAGGGGTGTGGGACTGTCGGTGTGCCCGGTAACAAGCTCACCCAGGTACCTTTGTGCTGGGCTGCTCCCGGGTTGCGCTGCGGGCGGGCCTTTTCCCAGGGCGGTGTGTCTGGAGGATGGCGGCGACTTTAAGGAGGACGTCCCCAAGGATGGCCGCCCCCATCAGCAGGCCCATGTCACAGACCCTCAGGGCTGCAGCCACAGCGGCGGCATCCCCGGGCACCTGGCAGAGACACAGGGCTTTGAGAAGGCAGCCGAAGGCGTAGACCCGTCGCCAGTCTTTGTCCACGTCCTGCCACGGCCCCGTGTTGAGCTTCTCCCAGGAGTAGTCCAGGATCGCCTCGCTGCTCTGCAGACACTCGTCCCTGCGGCCCTCGTAGAAGAGCGCGGTGGCTTGCTGCAGCAAGGTCACCACGCTCCTCTCCACTTTCTCGCCAAGGTCCAGCTTCAGGTCTTCTTTACTGTCCGGCAGGAGTGCCCTGAGGGCCTCCCAGAGCGCACCTGCTCCTGCCAGGGGGTCTCCAGGATGGCGGGTGGCTTCACCCATCTGGCCCACCGCCAGCTCGGCCGGACGAGTGCCTGCAGGGGGAGGAGATGAGAGTTAGAGACCAGGCACAGACCCCGCATCTCAGCTGTAACAGCGTTTGACAGTGGTCTTCTCTGCCAGGCAGAGGCTCTGCGAGGGTGGGGCCTACATCTGTCTGGGGTCACTGCTGTGTCTTCAGGGCCTGCCACAATACCTGGCACTCTGAGCATTGCAGGAATGTTTCTTCAGAGAGAAACACCACGTATTGTCCTTGTCTGGAATACCTCCAACACTCCTCCTATGCCTGGCAAACTCCTACCCAACCTTTAAGGCCCATCTTAAATGACCCCCTATTTCGTGAAGTCTGCCAAGACTCTCAGACCATGTTTTGTGTTCCCACAGCCCTTGAGCTTCCCTTATAGCACCATGTACTACAAGTATCCACTTACACGTGTGTCTCTCCAACACCAGACTGCGAGCTCCTCCAGGACAAGATCAGGTCTTATTTCTGTTTCCCTAGAGCCTAACAGCAGAGTCTGGCTTATACTAAGCACTCAGTTAAGGTACTGAAGGAATGCTACCTTAGCTTCCCAGGAAGAAACCTGGAAATACACAAAACCTATACAAAAAGGGACAATGTCATAGTTGGTGGCCTTGGTATCATATATGGATGGTGGCCATTATATGGATGAGGAGTAAGTACTAAGACGTGAATGGGCTCTACTGCTCACAAACAGTTATGATGATCTATTTGTGCTGTTCTGATCTAGGTATTATCCCAACAGTGGTTAAATCCCCAGTGTCATTTGGTGATAAGAGATAGGGACCATCATACTTTTGCAGAGAATGTTCTACGCTAAAGGTCAGCAAACTTTTTCTGGAAAGGGACAGATATTAAACATTTTAGGCTTTGCATGCCATATAGTCATGGTTGCTACTACTTTGCCATCGTAGCATGAAAACAGCCATACACATACACCATATGAAAACAAATGGGCATGGCTGTGTTCTAATAAAACTTTATTTACAAAAACAGATGGTGGGCCACATGTAGTTTGCCAGCTCCTGCTCTATGTTCACCAAAATCTTTGTCTTCCTCCTGGGTACACAGTTAGACTACATTTCTCAGTCTCACTTGCTAGGAGTTAGGCCTTGTTTACTATTTGCTGTAGCTGCAGGTATTGAATATTAAAATTTCCTCTGTGTTTTAGCCTACCCTGCTGTCTTTGGGTTTCCCTAGAGACTTCTTAAATAAGGTCTGAGGTCTCCCTTGCAATATAATGTGACCATGCCAAGTTCCAGCTCATGTGGATGGCAGGGATGTCTGCCACTTCCAGGCCTGGCTGACAAACACCTCCCACCTCCTACATGATCCTCCATTCACTTCTTTACCCACTGGCTGGAAGTGAGGGACTCTGAGGCTCTAGGGGACGACAGAGCCACAAGATGGAAGGAAGTCGCTACTTGGGGAAGAGCTACCTGAAAAGGCCACCCAACCAGGAATACCCACGCTGGTATGCTTCCTGAGCAAAAAATAAACTTGTGTTTAGCTACCAAGTGTTGGTGATTTTTGTTACAGTGGTTAGCCTGCCCGAATACAGTAACTTCTATTATTATTATTTCTTTTTTTTTTTTTTTTTTTGAGACAGAGTCTCACTTTGTTGTCCAGGCTAGAGTGAGTGCCGTGGCGTCAGCCTAGCCCACAGCAACCTCAAACTCCTGGGCTCGAGTGATCCTTCTGCCTCAGCCTCCCGAGTAGCTGGGACTACAGGCATGCGCCACTATGCCCGGCTAATTTTTTTATATATATATATCAGTTGGCCAATTAATTTCTTTCTGTTTATAGTAGAGACGGGGTCTCGCTCTTGCTCAGGCTGGTTTTGAACTCCTGACCTCGAGCAATCCGCCCGCCTCGGCCCCCCAAGAGCTAGGATTACAGGCGTGAGCCACAGCGCCCGGCCTATTATTATTTCTAATAGCCCCCACAGATGCCCACATCCTAATCCCCAGAACCTGTGACTATGTTACCTAACATGTCAGAAGGGACTTTGCAGATGTTATTAAGAATGAGGACCCTGAGATGGGAAGACTATCCTGGGGTATCTGGGTATGTTGACACTGCATGACAACCTTCCAGAGACAGAAGCTTCAGGACAGCTGTATGAGCTTGTTTTCAAATTGCCTCAGTATAAGTCGCGTGAAATGGCCTCCCCAAAGGCCTCACTAGGCTCCTCTGAGGCCTTGTGTTTGCATGAGGAAACTTTCCACAGCGAAATGGCATGCTGGCCACCATTGGTCTTCTGGCCTGGTTCCACAGGCTTCCCTGAATCTCTCTCGACTTGGCCTTTTAAACAGTTGCCACATCAGCCTTCAGGAGAGGCACTGATCCTAGGGTATGAAACATCTTCCAAAGTGGCATTGTGACCCATTTTAAAAACTGGCCTCCCATAGATTGGGGCTTGTCTCCGGCCAGGTGAAACTGGATTTTGTCCAGTTTTCCACAGTTTCTTTACACAACCATGAAGTGTACTGTTTGTTGTACCCATAACCCTCCAGGAAGCAGCCTCATGTTAGCTCCTGTCAGCCACGTGAAATGGCCTCACAGGAGAATGAGCCTTAGTCTGGCTGCGGGAAACAATCCTCCAGTGGTGGTGGCCTCACATGGGCTGCGAGCAGCAGCCTTCACAGGCCCAGCCACCTGAGATGGCCTTCCTGGCAAGGTCAAGTGCAGACTGCACGAAACTGCCTTCAATGACTGGCTTTACAAATCAGCCTTCCAGCATCCCCCATGAACTGGTCTGAGAAAAAGGCTTCTTGATAGCTGTATCAAGCAGTTTTCCGGAGGAAGAGACCAGTGTGGGTGGCCTTAAGACCTTGCTTTATTGATTGGCTTCACAGAACTCCTCAGTGAATTGCCTTTGATAAAAGGTTATATTAAACAGCCTTCCAGAAGAGGCAGTCAAGAATAACATGTGTGATTTGCCAGTTTTTTGCAAGAGAAAAAGAAAAAAAGAGTAAGATGTGCGAGTCTTTCACTGTGGCACCATAGGCTGGCTTTTAAATTGGCCTCCCAGAGCTCCACATAAAAGGGTTGGTTCTAAGTTGTAAAAACAGCCTTCTAGTAGTCAGGTGTAGTTGGGCTAACTATATATCATCTAAACCAGGATGCTATATTAATATTTGTGCCTGGAAAAGTAAAACACTGGGGCTATTCCAGGCAAACTGACACCTACACACAAGCTACGTGAAAAAGTCCAAGTGACCTTGTATGTTCACTTTACAAGCCAATCTCCCAGAACTAAACAGGTGCTGGCCTTAAAATGCCTCCTCTCTTGGTCATAGGCTTTTTTTGATGGCGGTTAGGGGTGTCAGGTATAGAAACAGCCTGAGTGTCTTGTGTCCTGGCTTTGCAGACTGGTCTTCCAGAGTGCCACATGCACTAGTCTCATGACACAGGCCAGGTTACAGAGGACGATCAGGTATAGGATGCATAAAACTGCTTTTCTCAGTGGACTTAATTCAGCCCCTAAAAGCTCCTTACATAATAGCTTGTCTGTTGGTATATGAAATGATCTTGGAAACGTGGTCAGATAAAGGTTATACCAGAGGTACAGCTAACCTCTGGATGGGCTCTGTCTTGGCCTTACAAATGGGCCTGAGATAAGGCTTATAAAAGGCTTCCTGCTGGTCATATTAAACACAAAGGAGCCAAGTACACGCTGCATAAAGCAGCCTGAATGGACTCAGGTCTGGACTTTGCAAATTCAACACCCAGAGTTCACCATGCAAACTGGCCTTCGATTTGCTGTTAGTAAACAGGCAAAGTGGGTTCCTGTTGGCTATAATATAGCACCCTCTAGAAGCCCCCACTGTCAGCCCAGAATTCTCTTAAATTATTTTTAAACAGTAGCCCCTCTAAAGCACCTCCCAGGGTAGTCCTTAAACTGGGTGGGGGAAACGACCTCTTCGAGACCCTCACCATGGCTCACAGAGGCTCTCATGGCACTCTGAGGGCACCATGCTGGTCACGAGGGAGCCTTCCAAAGTAGATTCCGGGACAGATCGGCCTGTATCTGGCCTCTGGGAACAGGCTGCCCACACTTTTGTCATTTCTTCAATTTCACTGCAGTACTCCCGGAACTTGTGCAAACTCAAGAGCTTCGCAAAAGTTTTCAGAGAGGTTTGGGTCGCTTCCCAGAAAGCTTTATTCAGCCGCAGATGGGTCCCTCTGGCCCTCTAAGGGCCATATAGTCAGTCTCGGGTCTGGGCCGCCGATGTGGCCCCAACGCCGGCCCACGTCCCGACCCTGGCTTCCATTCAACCCTGCTGAGCACGGTGACCCACCTTCGCCGGGAAACGCGACCCCGAAGCTCAGCGTTAACTCACGCGGAGTTACCAACACCCTTCCTCCGGGAGGCCGCACCGGTCCCCGCGCACCCCACGCCAGCCTTCCGCCGAGCCCTCGGGCCCCTTCCCTCCCCGCGCCTTCCGGGGCTGCGTTTCTCGCGGCTTACATTCGGGACCCGCCGGCTCCACAGCTGCAGGCCGACAACGAAGGCCACGCAGCCCGGGAGCAACGGCCAGTCGCCAACGGTCGACACAAACATAACAAGAATAGTAAAATCACGGAAGCGCACTAGAGTGGCACCAGCGCGACACCAAGAATTGCGCAAGCGCACAACAGGGCGCAGACCGGCCTCACGCATGCGCGAAATGACTTCCTAGGAAGACCAATGCGCATGCGCGCGGCCTTGCCTTTATCGGGTAGCGCCGCAGAGGGGAGAGGCCTAAGCTGCGTTCTCCATGCGCATGCGCTGGCCCGAGCCTCCCCGGGGCTTTCCAAGGCGCACGCGCGAGACTGTCTTCTCACTTCGCCCCTTAACCGGACGCCTGCGCCGTCAGTCCCAGCCCGGTCCCTCCACTCGAGTCCCGCGCGTTCGAGCTGGTCAAACTGACCTCTCGCGTTCGGACGGTGTCAAGTCGCTTCGGGGCTGGCGACGACTAATCGCGTTTGGTCTGAGCACTCGGGGTCTCCGCTCTGAGGAGTCAGGCTAGCAGGATGAGTATCGATCTCTCCGCGCTCGTCTGATCGCGTGCCTGGAGGAGCGCCGAGTGACTGATGCTGTGGCCCCGCCCCCGCTCCCATTTGAAAGGCGGGAGGGTGGAGGCGACCCAGGGGCTGCTGGCCTGTTCCCTCCGTGTCTTGTTCCACCCCGTGACGTGCAGGGCAGTTTCATACCCACTATTTAACCTAATCCCTGCAAGTGCGATCGTTAGTTCTCCCTGTTCTACAGATGTTAGGTCCGGAGCCGAGAGGGAGAGACTCAGGAAGCCTCAGGTGTAACAAAGTGCTGTTTATTTTGAGCATCTGGGTGCAGATGCGTGGAGGCCAAAAAACGCGTCCGCGGCAAAAAATGAGAGAGCCTTGGGTTTTATACAGGGCTTTTCTGGGGGGAGCAAATAAATTATTTTCAAACAATCTGGAGGGTTAGGAAAGTAAGTTCTCCTCTTGCCTTTCATTCCCTTATCTCCCTAGGGGTCTGTCAAAGGTTAGACCTGCCTAATACACCCCTAGGAAGGGGAGAGCGGTGGGTTTTATAGGAGGTTTGGATGGAAGTTTGGGGAGGGTGAATTCTTTAAGCCTAACAACAGAGAGGGAAACTGAGGCTCGGTGAAATAAAGTGGCCGCCTACTTGTACTTTTGGAGAAAGGCAACAGATACAGAATTTGGACCCACGAGGAAATGTAGCATCCACGGCCATTCGAGTGAGAAGGACCTGGGTTGCAGTGCGGAGTGGCAGACAAGTGGCCACGGGGCTCGCTTCTGCCACCTCTACCTTGATGCTGATTGGTGCAGGGCTCAGTAGGACCTCTGTGTTTTGAGCACACTCTTCCTGTGGTGTCTAAGTATGCAGGACTTTTGCAGCATTGAACAGCAGCAAGAGAAAGTTGTGCTCACTGGGTTTGAAGTTCTAGTAGGAAACTGGTTTGTTCAAGGCTGGTTTAACAAATTAGTGGATTCTAGTTAATGTGTTAAAGCACTTTAAAAATATTAAAATCGTAGCTAACTATTATAATGATCATGATCATCACCAGTTGAGAGAGGAAGTACAGAATGGCTTCACAAGGCTGGGCACTGGTGGCTCACTCCTGTAATCCTAGCACTCTGGGAGGCTGAGGAGGGAGGATCACTTGAAATCAGTAGTTCGAGAACAGCCTGAGCAAAAGCAAGACTAAAAATAAAAAAACTAGCTGGGCATGGTGGTGCGCACCTACAGTCCCAGCTACCCAGGAGTTTGAGGTTGCTGTGAGCTACACTGATGCCACAGCACTCTAGCCCGGGCAACAGAACGAGACTCCGTCTCAAAAAAAAAAAAAAAAACCAAATAAAAAAATAAATTTCTCATAACCCCAGGCTCATAATGGATGCTGGTGTTTGAACACAGCAATCACAGGTCCTGAGTCTACATGCTTACATGCCACACTAGGTTACCTCCCTTGAGTGGTGACAATGTTGAATTTTACCTGAACTCTGTGCCCCTAGAAAACAGCGAAGGTAAAAAGAATTCTTCATACCCTTTTGTGTCCCAGAAAACAGCTCACTGCAAAGCATCACCCTCCCGGATAGGACTGAGATGCTCTGCTTGTTTACCTAAGACAAGATGAGACAGGGACTGCCAAAATCCCATTCTTTGTTGCATAGGTGATTAGCTGAACTGCTTGTCCTATAAGCACACCCCAGGGACTATTAGGCTTTATGGCTCGGCTAGCGAAATGGAAGCCATTTTTCTTCCAGTCTGTTTCCAGCTTATTCTGTCTTAAAAGTTTATAATTAACCTGCTGCTTGCTTACACAGCTTCTGGGCACAAGATTAGAAAGTGATTTTGAGGAAAAACAGATCTAGAGTCCAGAATAGGCCAACCTCAGACTGCTGTAACAAGATCCACCAGATGCCTGTTGTTTGCCGATAACCATCACAAAGCTGCTTTCTGCCACCAGTCCATGTACCCTTCCCTTTATAAGTTGTTGGTAAGCAAAGGAGCTGAGATGGCTTTTGAGACAATAATCGGCCATCTCCTCAGACTGCCCGGTCTCTGAATAAACCATTTACCGACACTGGCCTCTCTCTCTTGTGTTTGGTTCTGCAGCGGCAGCTGAGCCTGAGCTTGGCAATAGTCCGCTATCCATTGTTACAAAATGCTTGTTAACCAAACTTTGGTTAAGATTTTTGTCCTTCCTCCAGGACCCTGAACTTTGGCCCACCCTTAGCCTGAGTTAGCAGACAGCCCCCTACCAGCAGGCCTCGGGGTAAGATGCTCTCTGACCCACTATCCATCATGCCGCCCTTTCATCCCACTTTCTGGTTCTTTCTAGCCTGTCTTTCCGTAAGAGAAAAGCCTTTTTTGTTAACCCGATGGCCACAGCATTCTCTCTGATGCAATAGTCCCTTTCCCCCTGCAATCATCCTTTCTAATAAAAGTCTCTGTACTACTCTGTGAAGCAAATGGAGATACCTTAAAGCGATACAAGTGAATCTACCATTTGATCCAGCAATCCCATTGCTGGGCATCTACCCAAATGATCCAATGACACTCTACAAAAAAGACACTGCACTCGAATTTTATAGCAGCAAATTCATTGCAAGGCTGTGTGGAAACAGCCCAAGTGCCCATCAATCCAAGAATGGATTAAAAAATGTGGTATATTATACATGGAGTAATTCAGCCTCTAAGAAACAATGGTGATATAGCACATTTATATTTTCCTGGTTAGAGCTGGAACCATACTACTAAGTGAAGTATCCCAAGAATGGACAAACAAGCACCAGATATATCTTCCAGAAAACTAGGTATTACTGAGTAGCACCTAAGGTGGACAGTAGTACTACAGTAATGAAGGTATTGGGGCAGGGTGGGAGGGAAGGGGTGGGTATATACATACATAAGAGTGAGATGTGCACATTGGGGGATGGTCATGAGGAGACTCAGACTTTTGGGGAGGGGGGGAAATGGGCATTTATTGAAACTTAAAATCGTACCCCCGATAAATACTGCAAATAAAAAAATTAAAAAAAAAAAAAAAAAAGTCTCTGTACTAAATCTGTATTTTTTTTTGACAATGGATTGGCCGTTACTATTCAGAGACTACAGCGGGGTGAACACCAGGCCCCAGCTTGCCTAGATAGGCTCCACAGCAAGGGCCAAGGGAGATTCGAACCCAGGACCCCCTGATTCCAGAAGCCCTTTCCCACAATGAGCAGGAACAAAGGGGCTCTGTCTGCTGGCAGTGTGTATGGAGTGCCGCCAGCTAGGCAGAGACAAACAATCCTTTTGCCAGCTTGTTTTTGTTTTCAAAACTGGCTTGTTGTGATGGATTACAGGCGCAGATGAAATGTTTTCTTAAAAGAAAAGAACCACAAGTTTTCACCACGGGGTTTCACTTCCTGTCATCTCTTTGCCAACCTCCCCCATTCCTGGCATCCTTGGAATTGGCCATTAAGCTGACAGACCCATTTGAGTGCTGCAAAAGGCATTGGAGAGAAAAAGAGGCATCATTTATGCCCATATTTGTGATTTTTCTCCATTTGATCAGATGCCTGTAATTTAAATATACCCAAGTGTGCTGGGAACATTTGTGGCTTAATTATCAAATTTATTTCAAATGTATACATACAAACAAAACTCCAAACTTGAAAACAACATTTAGCTTGGCCGTGAAAAAGATGTTTAATTTACTTCAATTGCTTAGAGCTAGATGAGAAAACCTCCCACATCCTGGCTCTTCTGCGGATTCCACCTGGATCTGCCTGGCGGAGGGCTGCTCGAGTATTCTGTGCTTTTACGTCACTTCAGCGTGACCTTTAGGAGCATGTGAGCCTAAAATGACCTTGTGGTCTCATTTACACTGGGAACAAAATACAAGGTGTTTTATTAAGTGGGTTCCTCTGGGGTGCAAGCAAGACACCCCTGATACAAAGTCAGGCTGACTCGGATACTTTCTCTTTCTCTGAGCCTCAGTGTCCTCCTCCGTGAAATGGGTATGATAACCCACCTCCCAAGGGGGTAGCGAGGATTCGATGAGGCAGCTGAACAGCTCCAGCTATCCTCCCTATTGTCCTCCCTGTCCCAGAAGCCATTGTTCTGACCTCGCATTCACCTGCTGGTGAGGGCACAGGCCACGCTTCCTTTACTGTGTCCAAGGACCTGTGCGGACAGTGTGGAACTCCTTTAAAATACAGGTTCTTGGATGCCTCCTCTGGGGACTGCGATTCCGTAATCCTGGAGTTGGGTCTGGGATTCTGCATTTTCACGAGCTTTCCAGACAACTCAGAAGTAGAT